GGCTACTTATGTTCCGTAATGGTGACAAGGCGTCGCCGAAACGTAATGCTTTAATAGCGCCACACAAAATCTTGCGTTTGCAGAATATTTTCATAACATCTTCAAAAATGACGTAACCGTCAAATGTAAAATGATCGAACAAATTTACAAGAAGTTAAGCTGAGGAGAATTTAAACAAAACCTCCCGTTTTCTAATTTCCACAATTGTCATAGAAACAAGCAAGACATCTGTTCAGCCTTATAGATAAAAGGAAATGTTTTACCCTGGCTTAGTTTAAGAGAATTTTTATTCAAACTACTGGTCAAAGGCGATTACTGGACGTCTTGGAACTATCTACACATTACTCAGTCACCATCGTAGCTTTTACGAGAGCAGTCCACAGAAAGGCATTCTACTCAGTGAATTTCTGGAAGATTAGACTTTTTCTGGCTTCAGCATAAAACCGAAGGGAGCAACAAATGGATTCCTCGTCCTTAGTATTATGCCTTTTAAAAGCGTTTTATCTTACATCACTATCATGCTAGACATCGCTACAACCCTCATCGTTGTGAAAAATTTTAAAAACACTGCTTCTTATCTTAGTGTTGGTTTGTTGAGTCAGGCAATGTTTGTTACATATCTTTTTGTGAAATCGAAACAAAAGAATAGAACGACCAATGCTATCTGTATCGCGTTTCTTACTGCGACGAATTTTATTTGCTTAATCTACATTGTTCCTCAGCAGCATCGTTTTGTGTGCAGAGAGATTCGCGAGTATTTTTTTTTGCCTCAGATACCAAGAACTTGTGACGCACAAACGCGTTGTTGCTGTAGTTCTCTAGCAGCTTGTCTCTTCCACCTTACAAATTGCAAATAAAATGATATTCACCCGGTTAATTTGGGGGCTTGTGGCTATTAAATGCTAAACACCCTAACAAAAATTGATACAACTGCTTTTACTCATACTGACAACTACTTTTACATATATCCATAATTACAGCGCAAACTCTCTTTTTTCCTTAGAAAGGAACGAATGTGCAAAATACCTTGGTGTCCTTATTTATTCAAAATTATCTTGGACGCATCATATCAAATATATTTCTACCAAAATCAGCAAATCATTAGGTACCCTTCCAAGACTAAGGCATTTTGTCCCTTCTTCCACTTTATTAAACATATATCGGTCTCTTGTACAACCTCACTTATCCTATGGTATAGCCGTCTGGGGCCAAGCACACGCCTGCTCCCACAAATTTGGAGAAAATTTTGATTCCTCAAAAACGTGCCCTTGGATTGATTCATTTCAAACCCTTCAGGTTCCACGCTGTACCTCTGTTCAAATTGTCTAATGTTCTTCCTCTTAATTTTCTTTATTTTAAAACACTCTGCCTTATTATGCACGATGTATCCAATAATGTAACACCTCCAAACGTTTCCAAGTTATTTACCTCTTCTTCAAAAGTACGTCATCATAATACACGATTTTCTGCGGCTGGCAATTTCTGTATTAAGCACTCGAGAACTGACCATATGAAGAGCTCCTTTTCAAGAATTGGTGCAAAAATATGGAATTGTATTCCCGACAGTAATCGTGCTCTACCTAAATATAAATTTAAGAATACCCTACAGAGTCGGCTGCTGGATATTTTGTTACTGGAGGATACTTATGTTGTTGTGCGTACTTTAATTGACATATTTAGTAAATATTAACTTTTATCTATTTAAATGTTCTCAAAACATAGCCAAGAAAAGTCTTAATGATTGAGACAGTTTAATTTTTTAGTTTAATTTCACTCATACCTAATTTCATTTACCTATTTTGAAGCATATGTATTCACTGTCTAGTTGATTCAATATGTTGATGTTCGTTTATCTGGTTAACTTTATTGTCATGCTTCGACCCTATTATTTTAACTTTTTTACTTTTCCTTCCTGCCTCGATTAACTATAGGCTACTTTGCGGGCAAGGATTAATTATGGCTTGTATATCAAAAGTGTTTTTAATAAACTTGAACTTACACTTGAGGTATGCCATCTTACCAGATATTCTGGTGAATTTTAACTTAAAATACAAATTAGTGAAGTAGTCAAGAGAACAGATGAAATTTTCCAAATCGAGCACAAAAATAATTATCAAAAGAGGGATGTCGCAACCCATTATTTGCTTATACTTTTATGACCGAGTCAGAGATCAGCATCTCCCCGCAGTTTTGTTACATTTCCTTTTTAAACGATTTGGTTTCAAAAAAAAAAAAAAAAAAAAAAAAAACAGAGCACGAGGAAAGGCTTGCAGGAGTTTTCTGAACACTGAGGGATTTCGCTTCACGGGATGCGATAAGGCGACCCCACCCAAAATACTGATTGCTGTGAACAATTTCTTTTTGCCGGTAATTAAGTTTAAGTTTCATTTTGAAACAAAAACTCCCGTTTTCTAATTGCTTGGCAGTTTAGAAAAATACGTCTGACAATTATCTAAAGCGTCTTAAAAACACATAGGACATCAGTTTTGCCACACCAGCAATGCCCTATCATCAGTAATCGTATGTTCAGAAAAGAGTTTCATCGTAGCTCACTTAAAGATGCATTTTAGTAAGTCAAACTGCTTTTCATCAGTCTTGAACTTACTAAACGTTTTGTAACTCTCTGAACGTTAGTCAGTCCGTGACGTCGGTTTGGTCAGATCATCCTGGAAAAAAAAAACGCTTCAAGAAAGGACAAGAATTTGTTTGCTTCAAGCGCCGCAACTATCTAAAAAAAGTCAACAAATGGATTACTTGCATCTCACGTTTTGCGTATTCAACGCGTATTTGTCCTACACCGCCACCATGCTGAACATTGTAGCAATCTACGCGATCAGAAAGACTTCGTCTTTGTCTAAAAATTTAAAAACATTGCTCCTGAGCCAAGCCGTTTCTGATCTTGGTGTTGGTTTAGTAGTTCAGCCAATGGTTGTTGCACAAGCTATGAACTCAAAACGAAACAGTGAAACGCGTCTTATCCCGACGAATCTCTTGAGCTTTGCGACGAATCTCTTCATCTTTGCGACATTGTTTAGCGTCACGGCTCTCTGTGCAGACAGATTTTTGGCGATTCGCGTTAACCTCAGATACCAGGAACTTGTGACATACAAGCGCGTTGCTGCTGCCGTGATCTCAATTTGGGTGATAAGCGCACTTATTTCACTGACCAGGTTATTCCTCCCAACGCAAATTATGTACGCGAGTTTCGCCATTATTGAATTTGCCTGTATTATAACTGCAACTTCCCTGAGCGCCAAACTTTACCTAACTATAAGACGCCACATAAACCAAATTCAAGTCCCGCAAGTAGCGCAGAATGACCAAGGAGAAAGTGTTCAAAGAAAAAAGAAATCTGCGATGGCATCGCTTTACGTGTATCTGGTTTTCATAGTTTGCTACTTGCCTGATATTTGTGTGTTAATTATTGACGCTTCCATTTCCGAACCAAGGAACGATCTACAGCATTTGCAGTTTTATACAGTGACCCTGTTGTTCCTGAATTCAACCATTAACCCACTAATCTACTGTTGGAAGATGAAAAGCATCCAGCACACTATTGTAGGCGCACTTCGAAATCTTTTTTCAAGTCACACCTAGAGAAAGCTCCACCATAGACTATGACGAACAGAGGACTAAGAAAGCCTTATACGGTCCGTAACTAAATGAAGCTATGCCACTTAAATGCTTTGCGAATTACCCTACATGTTATTTTCATGACACAATCCACGCTGTCATTCAGTTTTTAAACGTCCTTATGCAAAGTTTTAGTTAAAAAAATTCATTACTTTTGTAAAATGAACCTTTAAAAGCGCGATTGACACACTTCACAGTGTCTTAGTGATGCAAGAGTGAGCCAGCTTACTACGAGCTAAATGCCTTTAGTTTCTTCTTCATATAACCTTTTCACGGTGTTAAAACCTAATAACGTTTAATTCGTCATGGAGCAAAGGTTTTGCTGAAATAGACCGTAACTGTTATGTCACTACTATACAATTTAAGTGTACGAGATTATTCTTAATGATAGAAGGGGGAGAAAGTATGATAAAAAAAAAATGTTTTTTCTAAAACTGTTCACGTTTAGAACCCTTAAGATTTTAGGGTTTAACTGTTTTCGTCTCAAAAAACATATGTATTGTCAAATCCGTCTTGGTCTCTTGTATTGTTTTGTAGTGCTTTTTATTGTTATTTCAGTAAGCAACATTTCACCAAGGATAATAATGAAAAGAAAAGCCATGGCCGTACAAAAGAAACCACCCTTTACCTCCGTCTAAAGACATGCTGAAAATTTGCCCAGAAACGAGAATATCAAACTTCAACTTGCCTGCGAGGAAGCTCTCTATTTTGGGCAAGACGCGAAAATTCACGCGAGAGCAGCACGCGTAAGGAGACGCGGGTGCGAGGGGCGGGGTGACAGGCGCGTTCTCTCGCGACTAGCTTTGCTTTCTAGCAGGCTAAACTTCAACAGCTGTCGTGCGCGCTATTCATTTTCATGACAATTTCGATCGATCGTGGAACTTGAACGCTTTTCGCGGTTTACAACCTTTATTGATTATTGTTACTATATTTTCACTTCCATTCTGACCTACAAAGGTCTGAAATTATAGCTTCCAACACGAGCCTGAATTAGAGAGGGAGTTCGTGAATATAACGCGCTCTCACTAAATATGAATTGTTGGTGCCAGTTTCATAGTAGAATTGAGTAGCAAATGAATTTCACCTCAACAACAACAACAAGAAAAGAAATAGTTTTTAAGCTCGCTTGCGTTTAATGGTTGGGTGCAAAACCAACGAAAAACTGTCCACTGATAGCTTTTGTCGTCGAGCTTAAAAATTGCAAATGCAACGCAAGTCCATGAAAGATTTGGGGAACCACATGACATGTAAATTAAACAGCTGAAATTTTCCAAGTTGGTTATTTAAAGCCTACTCTTATCCTCTCTCTGCAAACTAAATATTCTTTTTTAGACACTACATTTTGTGAAAAATACCAAAAATTTCACCAACTTTAAGAGAAGGAAACACTTCTAACTCCTTCAATAGGGACTGTAAACTCTAAATGAGAAGCCCTCATGTTAACGCCATAAACTAGAAGTCTTTCATTTTACATCACTTCATTTTTACTGTCAATTAAATCGGCTAGAAAACTAACGAGGAAAAGTTTTTTCTTAAATATTTCATTCGACCGCTTTTAGTCCCAACTAATAAGCAACATGCCATTTTAGAGTAAATTTTAATGAACATAGAGCATATGGAGCATACACAAGAGTGAAGGACAGCTTTGTCCTTTTTCGCATTTCGTTCACTCGGACGCAATATGGCCATATAGTGGCCCCAATAAAGGAAAAAAAAACTTCAAATATGACTTAACTGTCAAAGGTGGGAAAAACGGTGGGGCAAGTTTCCTGTGTTTTAGTTGAAGTTAATTTAAACAAAACTTCCTGTTTTTAAATTAGTATAACGCTAATAAAAAAAAGACGATTTTGAAAATAACCAAGAGATCTATTCTGACACTTTGACCAGCAATATTTAATAATTAGTTGCTGCGTCATTGTGTTAAGATGAAATGTTTCATAGTGGCCCAGTTAAAAAGGAATTTAGTCAAAGTAGTTATCAAAGTCTTCCCTATTGAAAGTCGTGAAATTCTAAAAATAAGTCAATCTGCTTCGAAGCTCCGGTACAAGAAGTCCACGAAACTGATTCTACTGAATTCACAAAATATCAAACTCTTGCATCATCTGATAGGAACTTAACTTGCTTCAGCACAAATTCAAAAAGGACAACAAATGGCTTCCTCGTATCTCCTAGTTTGCCTTTTAAATGAATTTTTATCCTACACCGCCACCATGTTAAACATTGTAACAATCCACGCGATAAGAAAAACTTCCTCATTGTCAAAGAACTTAAAAACATTGCTCCTGAATCTGGTTGTTTCTGACCTCAGTGTTGGTTTACTAGCTCAGCCAATGACGGTGGTACATCTTATCTCTACGAACTTGAACGAAAATAATGAAACTAGTAAGACTTATAATGCCACCTATACCGCGTACCTTATCCCGACGAATTTATTTGCTTTCGCTACGCTGTTTCTCGTCATTGTTCTTTGTGCAGAGAGATTTATAGCCATTCATTATTGCTTTAGATATCAAGAACTTGTGACACACAAGCGAGTTGTTGCTGTTGTCGTCGCAACTTGGGTATTAAGCGGACTGTTTTCGTTGACGAGGCTGTGGATCCCAAAGAGTCTTATGTACGTGGTTTTTGGCATTACAGAACTTGCATGTATTGTAGCTGCCACTTTCTTCAGTATCAGAATTTACTCGTCCGTGCGACTTCACGTAAACGAAATACAAGTGTTGCAGCTACAACATGCACCACAGAAGGCTCAAATGGTTAACGTTCGAAGGATGCGAAATTTTGCGATAATGTCAGTTTACGTTTGCCTCGTTTTAACGGTTTGCTATCTGCCAAACATTTGTACACTCTTTGGTATTGCCTTCACTTCTAGACCAAGCACTGGCATAAAGCATTTACAGTTTTACACTCTGACACTGGAGTTCCTTAATTCGTCGCTTCAGAGGGGGCTGGCAGCGAGGTCTGGAACCGAGTTTACATGATCGCCCCAGTTAAGAAATTTGGCCGAGTGAGACTGAGTACCAATTTTCCTTCAAAACAAATATGGCGGAGAATGAGGACATGGAAAGCAACCTCGTCCCCAGGGTCTTCTCGCTTTCCAATATGGCGGCGGCAGGAGAGAAGACCCTGGCACACAGCAGAAATCACGTGACCGATTTGTCCACGGAGAGTGGAAATTTATTCAAAATGGCGGCCAAGATAAAGAGTGAGAGGATCTGGGTACTAGTTCTTGGGACCGGTGAAAAGCAAACAAAATGGCGGCAAAGTATGGCTCGGATGTGCGCTTAAATAAAGAGGCTAAAAGTAAGAAGGAATGCATGTAAAAGCAAAAGGAAAATGGTAAAATGATGTAGAAATTTATTCTTGCTGTTTTTTGACTTTCCTTTATTGTAAACCTAAACTTTTTTCGCGTAGTACAGGTACACGATTACACGATAGTCGGCTCCAAAATGGTAAAAATAAGTTTAAAAGGGTTTAGAGTTCGTCCGTTTTGTCACAGATGTACATAAAGAATTTTACTAGACTTTTTCTTACTACATATTGACTTTTCCTATACTCGCAGGGGGCGTAGCGTGAGGTTTTGAGGTTTTTCTTCGGTTAGGATAAGGTCTCTCGACCTAAGAAAGCTAGGCATTTTAGGAATTGCTTTCTTTTAAACATATAGTTTGCAACCACTTCCACATTTTTGGTCACTAAGTGGTAAATAAAAGTGTATTTTCTTTTTTTAATGGATGTGTGAAAAGGTTGTTATTTAAATAGTTATTTTCACAATCGTACAGCAAAGTCCAAAATCTACTCTCTGGTTAAAATTTCTTTCACAGCACAAATCTTCAGCCAGCTAGGCTAATCAGGCTGACTCAACATTGTAAACAGGCCAATAGTAGTTACTTACATTTACACTGACATGTACAACTTTTAACAAGCTCAAGTAGCAAAGTTGGCAGGGACCCCCAAAATAATTCACCAACTCCTCCTGAGACAGTTTCTAAGGATATCACTCTCGTAATTCTTGGTGCCCACAGTCATTAACTAAGTTAGTTAATCCAATGTTACAGTTTGTTCATAGACTTCCAGTCCTTTACTGTGCACTCCTCATGGTTTTTTTTGAGTGCTATATTTCAGGAGAGGTATGACAATAAGATTTTTGCCACTTAAAAATGACAGCGTTATTGTTCAGTTGAGATTTTTAACATAAAGGCTAGAGTACTTTGATGACCATGTTTCTTATCCCATGGCAATCTGTTTCTTGTGCTTTTCAAGCCATGAAAAAAACTTTTCCATGTCTTGTCCAACCAGTGGAGATAAAGTAATCTCTTGAAAGTGTTCATGGCATCTGTTAGGAGTTATGCGAAAGGGACGCAGTTTGCGGAAGTCTTTCAACATTAACATTTCATCATCTTTAGCACTTCTTGTGGTATGTGCCCGGGATGAAGGGTGAATCTTTGTTACCTTGTCAAACTGCCCTTTTATCTGGTGAATCCCAGGTGCTGCCTTGGAGGCAGTGATGATGGCATTGTTGGTCTTGTTTGGACCCATTCCTTGCACAACATTTTTGCTTGTGCAGTTGCAAATCTCCTGTGCTTTGTCGCCTTCAATGTTGTTTCCTAAACCCCAGTCCAGTTGACAAACTTCCCCACGTTACTCGATGTGCAACTTCTTCAGAGAGTAATGCTTCGACTTGAGCAATGCTGGTAAACATTTCTATGGCATATTTAGAAAATGAATTGAAGCGGAAAAAGTATGATAGTAGGCGCTTTTGATTGATATTGTTTCTTTCCCCATCACCTTCTGCACATGTGTCAGTCAACTGCATCAGAAAGACTGCAAGTTCGATGACGTTAAGCCCATAATATCTAAAGGAAAGATAACAGAATTGACCAAATTCTGAGCACAAAAAAATGATGCCTAGGTATGGTATATACTTGAATGTGTAGGTGTAAATGGTGGCAGTGATATAATCAAAGGGAGGTCATAGAGCTTTTCACAAGGTGGGACACCATCTGCTAGCTTTTACAGCTTTTTATGTTCATGGGAGCATTAAGTGTGGTAAACTTTGAAAATTTTATTTATCATTGTTTGAGGAAAACCTAGCCTTGGGAACAGAAAGGTTGTACTGGAGTATCACTGAATTGTTTCTTTGGTTTTTATAACTATGATGTATGGGAAAAATCAAACAATAATTATTGCATGTATACAAAGAAGCAAAAATATGGTTTTGTATGAAATAATTGGAAAAACAAATTAAGTTAACTCAGCATGCAAAGAGAGCCAGATGAAAAAACAGTCAGTTCTCTGCATGCCATTCAGGAAAGCTGTTGCTACTATGTTCTTGCCCAAGAGTCATTTTCACTAGCCCTAGAAGTGTTCTTACTTAAACTGCAATCAGTTTGCTCTTAAAAAAATTGGAGCAGATTTAAATCCAGTGACTCTTGGGCCTGCTTAAGTAGATTCTAGCTACAGCTTGACTGAATGGCAAGCTGTAAAACTGACTTTCTTTGCACCCTGTTAATTAAGGGTTTCTCTTTTGAAATTTACTGACCGTACTTTGTCTGTTCCACTCGTATCTTCCTCAGTAACATCATCATCAGTGTTGTCTTGTAGTTCCCCACTGGTTTGAGATGGAGCAAAATAGTCATGGTCATGGCCCACCGTAGCTACAAGACTAGATATTCGTTGCAGTTCCTGGTCTTCCATCACGGCATCTTGGTCTGGATCTGCCATGACAAATTCATCAACAAAGGAACCAAGAACATCATCAAAGAAGGTCTTCTTTCTGGATTTTTGGAGATGCAAGATGCCGGCTGGAGGAACATGTTTTGTAGGAGTGCCATTTACTTCGTTCAAACCAAAAAACTCCATGGCTGCCTCCAGGATGTATGCTGTTCCAACACTTACAAAGAAATCTTCAGTTCCTTCGAATGACTTTGTTACCTTGTCTGGGGTAACATTTTTGCGATTTACCCTTTCACGGAAATATTTGAGGGTACCAACCTCTCTGAGAGACTCGGCTTTGTATAAATGATCAAACACAAGCTGCAAATGGATATTAGCACAAAGAGGTATCAATATGGTAAGTCACCCACTGTTATTTATGCCAAATAAAGTTCCTTAAACTACACTTACTCTATTAATACATGTCAATCTAATATACTTTATTGAACTCATTATGACCCGTTGCTCTTTATATTCATAATTTTGCATCCCATTGTTTCAAATAATAATAACAATATTATTATTCCCGAACAAAATATCTAGACCTTTCATATTCACCACATCAATGCAAACAACAATGTTTCTGTGTTCTTACAGTGGGTTTACACTGTGTACTGACTTATTTATTTTACCTAAGGTTAAACTGACTTGGTCAACTTCCCACTTATATGAACAAATTAAATATATTTTCCTTCGATTTGGCCTAATTTTATACCCATTATTTTACTATGCCCTTATTTTAACCCTTTTAACTAAGCTGAAATGTAGGATATGTGCATGCACATTATTTTCAATATTAAAAACACTCTTTAGGAACTAATGTGGTCAAGAAATACTTTAACCCAGATAAAATTTGCATGACAAGCAAAATGGAAGTCCATGTATAACCAAATTCACAGTTTGTGCAGAACTTAAGAATATTGTTCTACTTGTATGTGTACCAAATATGACTCGCAAATTGGACTGATTAACCCCAAACTTGAACTTAATTTACCATATGTCATTTGAGTTTGAGTTAGCATTATTGTTCTAAATTATGACCATTTAAAAGTCAATATTTTATTTGTATGACAAAAACATATTTTCTTTGTAGGTACCTGCAGATAGGACATCTTGGTATGGAATGGTTCTACAACAAATGGACTACAATGTTCAAATCTGTCTTTTGCAGTGTGACAGCCCTTTCTGAGATCTTTTGCCCCAGCAAAGCGCACCCTGGTTAACTGGTCTCCCCCAAAAGGAACACATACATCTTTCATATGGTCATCATCATCATGTCTGGTAATGTGCGCTCCAGGCTGATCTGGTGCTGATTGCATACCTTCCAGACTTCCATTTGGCATAGCTTGTGCTGTATTTCTTGGCACGTTTATAACGCCTGCCTTACTGTAAATCTCCTCTAAGGTATTTTCATAGAAGCACAGAATGTCAACAACATCATCATATTTTTTTTCATCCTTCAGCTGGGTTGGTAGACTGACAATAGCAGATTTCTTTGCCATTTCATTGGTGTAGCGATGGGCTATGTGTTGGGGAATAACTGCTTTCAAGAAAGACAGTGATGGAATGTGAGCCACAAGTACTCTACCCACCAGGACCTTAAAATCTTCTCTTAGCTTGTCTGTTTCTGCATCATTCAACAGGAAATGGCAGTTGGGAAGTGTCTGAATGTTACGACGAGGGTAGACCTGACACAGGCCTTCACATGGCACCCTGTCTACAATTAAGTTGGAGGCAAAGTAGTGCAGATCTTTGTTCTGATGGTCACTTCTCATGTCATGGACAAGAACCCTGATGTCCCAGTTGTCACCTGTACCCTGCAGCTTTTTCCCTTGCTTTACTTCATCAATTATTTTGTCTGCAAAGTGTCCGCCAATTAACTTCATGAGTTTCAGTTTGCTTGTGTGCCCTAGGCAAAATCCAAGACTTTGACATCTGTTGATAAGCTATCAAACCGGATCAATGTGGTTAGAATTTTTTTTGTAATCATGGCACAAGAATTGACTCTTTTTGCCCTTGTCAGAAAGATTTTTTTAAAAATTTTTATGTACCATAATATTGACCAAACCTAAGATTTACTCTCTTTACTTTCCTTATTATGAAGATAAATAATGCAGTTCCTCTGATCTGCACCAGATCAAGAGCACTTGAACTATTCTTTTCCAAGTGATTCGATTTAGCGCCCTCCTTCCAATAAGTGCCCCCCATTTGTCTGAGTTTCTCACGGTAACTGAACATTGACCATATATTTAGTACTGTTACAAAGAGAAGTACAGTTTCTGTTATTGTCCCTTTTAAATAAGTCTTAAAGTTTTTTTTTGAACATTCAGTTGTTCTCAAAAAAATGAGTGCCCTGTCTTGAATTTACCAAACATTAATAAGCGGCCCAGGCGCTAAATCAAATGATTACGGTATTAGTCAATGTCATTGCTAAAATTCCCATGTTTTGTATGCGTAATGTAAAGCGTACCGTTACAAGAATTACCTCTTAGCTCAGACTGATGTCATTTAAATCATTTACTTAAAATCTGTATACAAACATGGCTGAGTTAGAACTATATTACACAGCCTCAAGTTTGATTGTGTGAGTGAAAAAAAATAATAATTTTACATGTAATTACTGGTATAAAGTGTTCTTTTTCAACCAACCTGCTTCTTAGCATTTCCTTCTGCAAGTAAAATAGTATTGATTCTCTGAATTAGGCTTAGGTCATGGTTCCGCTTCTGCATTAGTATACCGTAGCATAAGCAAATTGAAGGGATGGTGTTGGGTTTCAGTTTTGATCCAATAGTTGTTGTCATGACATCAAGCAAGAGTGGACATCTTTGTGAAATTTCATTAAGAATAGAATTCCAATCAAAGCCCGCCATGTCAGGATATTGGTTTTTCCTGAGAACTGATGGTGTATTCTTCTTGCACAGTTCAGTACATTTTTCATTCAGTTCTTGTAAAATATTTACCTTGAAGATTGTCTTCAATGATGGCACACTGTACATAACATCCACAACCACAGAGGGCACCCCAGTTCTCACTGCATTGGTCAGCTTTCGTACTATGTCTGTTTCCAGAACATGGGCAGCTGATTTGGTAATCTAGTAGGTAGATGAAGAGTTTTTGCTTAAACTCAAGATTCTTCAACATCAATTTTCTCCTAACAATTTAACATATTTTTAGGTGACAAGATTTAATTAAATGACAAGATTTAATTAAATTCTCTCAAGTAATTCCTTAAGGAAATATAAGATTATGAAGATCAGAGAATTTGCATGTCTATATTGGGGCTTAACAGTTTGTTTTGATTCTAAGGTTGAGTCCACTTTTTAACACTTACCCATTTAAAAAAAAGGCAAAACAAAGGGCACGTTTTTGAGTACTAATAAAACACTAAGTTTATTTTGATATCAAACTTTAGTTTTCTGTATGATATTAACATGAAATGTCTGAAAGCATTGCAGGCTTCAGGGCCCGGGGAGGTACTGCCATATATGGTCTATATAGGTATGTGCCGGGGTGAAGGGTATGGTTCTTAAGCAGTTTACTCTAGAATAGGGTATATAAATCAGAGCGTTTGGGTCTAGAATAGGGTATCATTTATCATTTTTAGGGTATCAGTTTTCATTTGTCAGTTGGTTGAAGATTTTATCCAGACTAGGGATTGTGGTATAAGGTTTTGTTTTGGCTAGACCCTGGTAGTGACCTCAGTAGTTTCTGGTAAACAGCTACCCTAGGATAGAGGGTATTTGGGGAGTTTACACTAGTATAGGGTAGCAAAATTCAGCTGAACTAGCTCTAGTATAGGTTAAGGGTTCCAGGATCCCAGTGACACATCCCCACCCACAAATTCCTAAAGTACCCCCACCCCGGTCTTCAGGGATGGGAGGGTCCCGGTGGATGGACCCCTAAATGCATCTCATGAGCATAGAGATTGACCAAGACTATGTGCTTTTGTTAATAACGATGATGATGACAAGGATGATAACAACAATGATGATGATGATAATGATAATTTGTTAAAATAGTAATAACAAATGAACGCCCTGTTTTTGGATGCAATATACTGGCAAACTTGCCACATGAATAATATTTTTGCCTGAGTCTAAAGTCTTTGTTTGTTTGTTTGTTTTTTTTTTCAGAAATTTCTTATTTTCAAATTTTTGGTATTATTACAAAACAAAAAAAATGTAATCATTTTTACATCATAGACCGCGAGCAGTTTCTCCTTTTCTTCAGATTTCAAGGTGAGGGAAGTGCGCGCGTTGACGACGCGCGTGGTCATTTTCGTTTCACGCGCCTTTCGCTCGACGAACTAAGGAAATTGGGAAAAGGAGAGACTGCTGGTAGTCTTCGTCAATCATTTACTTACAGGTTGATCAAAGAGTGAAATTCATGGAACCGTAGCTTTAATTTTTTTGTTTTACCATCCAAGTGAAAATGAAGTGTAATGAATTGCATAGCTGATTGGTCTAATGTTATTTCTACAGAACGAGTCAACGTACCTCGGATTTTTTAGGCCGGCTTGCGATAATATAGTATAACCACATTTCTCTCAGAGTCAACTTCGGAGACAGGCTTTTCTAGGGCTTTTTGGGAAGCTTTTTGGGCTTTAAAGGGAAGAGATCGAGCGCTAGGTGGGTTTTTTTCCATCACTCGCGATTTTTTCTCCGGCTCAGAAGCAGCAGGTGAGAAGACTTTGCACCTCTTTGTTATTACTTTTGATTTCAGCTGGTTTTGTGTGTCGATAACCATTTTTTTGAACTCGGAGAACCGATTCAGTACTCCTTCGCATGGGCGGCAGATTTTGTGTGGCAAACCATCCTCTTCTCTGATGGAAATATTTAAAACCTCAAATGCTTTGTCGCCTATTTTTTTCCTCTCCCCACTTATGCCAAAAATATTGGTACAATGGTCTTTCGCACCTCCACAAAATCTACAAATGTTTTCTCCAAAGTCTGAGTAGACTTTCTGAGGTGTAGTGGACATGTTCGGAAACTGAGATACTTAAGAGAGTCACTGCCTTTTACGTGCGCATTTCGCGCCCCATGCCATTTAAGGCACGCTTCTCATGGGATTATTCAGGCAAGTTCTCTAAAAGCGACAAAATTTTCTCACAGGAAAATTTCTTATCCTTACGAGTTTTGCTTATAATTAAAAATAAGTAACTTGATCAGCACGTCTTTTTCAAAGGACGGATCGCGAGTGCTTTGGTTGACTCAGCTGCTTTGTGCTCAGTATCTACGGGAGTTTTAGACTTTGAGTTTGAGAGATGAAGCTTACCTTGAATTCCTTTTTTTTTTCAAGCTGTGAGGTACGCTTTAGATGTTACTAGTTACGACAGCGTATTTTTGAAAGTCAAACAGTTTAAGATCCTTGAAGCTTGTATGTTACGGCAACATGTTATTGAGTCCTTCCGACGGGTTATGGGAAGTCGGTAATTTTTCACCTTCTTCCTTACATGTGGGACTACATGTGCAATGATAAACGAGAAACGAGCATTGTCATTGTCATTTCGCCCTTGAATGCACTTATTGAGGACCAAGTCAATAGTTTGAAGGAAAGAGGAATTAAGGCTGGTGTGCTACGTACATCTCGTGCAGAAAAAATTAATGCCGCTAATTCTCAGAATGACGACAGTGGGTCAGAGGATGAAAATGAAGTTTCTGTGGTATCGGAAAAAAAGCCCAACTACTGTATCAGCGAGCCTGAACTATTCAAATGTGTCCAGGAAGGAGAATTTAAGCTTTTATTTACTCATCCAGAGGCTTTTATATCGTGTAAAGATGGTAGAAAAGTCCTTCAGTCAGATTTATACCAAAATCGCGTCGCATTTTGTGTCATTGACGAAGCTCACCTGATAAAGGAATGGGGCTCAGAGTTCCGCCCTGATTTTGGAAAGTTAGCCCAACTTGGGTCACTGTTTCCGACCGCACCTATTCTGGCGTTAACGGCTACTGCCCCCAAAGAACTTGTAAAATATCTGAAAGTGAATCTTCAACTCAGGAATCCGATGGTACTCGTGGGAAATTTAGACAGAAGTAACATTTTTATTTGTAAAGAAAAGAGAAGGCCCTCATCATTTGGAGTAGACAGTTACAACGACATTTTGGTACCCATTGCTGAGGAACTAAGGATAAAATTAATCAACTACCCCCTTACCATCATCTACTTGCCCTTGAAATGGTGCGGGTATGCTTTCAAGTTATTTCTTACCGTGCTCGGTGAGCAGAGTTTCTATCCGATAAGCGTGGACAAAAAACCCGAAAACTGCCTGTTTGCGCAGTACCATGCGCCACAGACAGACCTAATGAAAGATGAAATTCTTAAGCAGCTAACCGCGACGGAAGTTTGCAAAATTCGTGTTGTCTTTGCCACAGTAGCAATTGGAATTGGTGTAAACATTCCTAAAGTAAGACATGTTATTCATTTAGATGTTCCTCGGACTGTAGAGTCATACTACCAAGAAATTGGACGAGCGGGTCGGGACAACCAACCTGCCAGAGCAACACTCTATTACAATGGTAGTGACATAGCTTCCAACAAACCTGGGATGACGGACGAAATGCGGACCTATTGCAAGCTTACCAACAGCTGTTTGAGGGATTATGTTCTAACTTACTTAGGTTCAACACGTTCAAGTCGCCAACCAATTGATGGTTTTCACGGTGACGTCATCAGATTGCAAAGTCAAAAAAGCGAGGTTTTACGAATTCTTATTTACACTAGGTTGAAGATTGATAGGAAATACATCTTTGTACAAGTTTCCAGCCCCGAAGCATGTTTCATTTCGAAAATACAGCAGTTTGAACTTCCGAGTTTTCACAGTGCGTGACACCAAAAGAGGAATGCTATCTCCTTGAAAAAAGTCTCTCCGCTTGATTTTCAGCAGTTTAACCATTTCAAGTATTAGAAGATATGTTTATGCGCAAGTATGCTAGTTCTCGAGTGAAAAGGAAGAGCTTTTATAGAAAAAGTGAACTCCAGATGTTTTTGTTGATTTCCGGCGGCCATATTGGTGGACAGTTTCTGTCCACCAGTATGGCGTCTCCATACAAAGCTCTACAAAGGTGCGTGAAATGTTTCGGCAACTAACTCAGAAACTGTGGGCCACAAAGACCTGAGATTTGGACAAATTGTTTACATATTAGTCTTTTATAACATTTCATTTTCTTGGCTTCTTTCACTGGACGGTTTCAGATGTATTTTTTTGTGTCGTGTTTATTGCGTGACAGTGAAAACGAAGAATACCCGGGCAACTTTGTTGTTCCAATTGCAGTAACAGCGAGCAACAGCACCCTAAAGAAGCACATGTCACCCATCTTAAGAAGTCCCCTGAGCAAGATCAAGACGCTGTGAGAAGGGTATCTGAGGAGGAGCGAAAAGAGATCCGTAAGCATTTATTAAAATATCGCCTCCACCTTGGCGCAAACCGCAGGAGGTTTGGTGATATTGATTCGTGCACTGGTTTCACAGTTAAACTCATTGACAATGTTGTCTCAAAGTGCGAATTTTTATCCTCAACAGAAGAAATTTTTTCCTCTTTTCAGATATGGGAGAGATCACACGCAGAGGTCGTTTTGCAAGTGATAAAAAGCGTGTGTGACGAGTCTTAGAGCGCTTACAAAAAGTGAGGACTAGCTGGTCTGATTTTGAAATATGCAGGAGAATATTTTTCAAACGTTTTCAACAAAAAACCAACACTGCTTTGCAGAGAATTTATAGAGATACACTAGTCTGGCAAACAGATCTGATCGACTTATAGAGAAATTTTCATTAGGAATCAGGGGCTTGTCCTTTGCCATTTCTGACAACTAAGCAAACGTCCTTACTTTATGGTAAACACTCTCTCGTACTGCATTTCACACTTAAAATCGAAAATTATCGTAATCTGAAGAGATTTAACCTAGATGGAATTTAGCCCAACATGTCACTGGTCCCAGGAGGAGTACTTCAAATTTCAAGAGACAAGCTTAAGGATGATCGATCAAAGAATTTTTCTGGGTGGCTTGATTAAAGTAGGGAGATTTTACGGTATCAAAACAATGTAAACGTTCATGGTGGGAAAAAATATATATTAGGAGGATGGGAGGGGGGGGTTGATTTTTGCCCCCATTGGATCATCTCGTCACTTGAAATCCATAGTATTCCCCTGTTGCTCACTGGCATGGTGATTTGCTTCCTTTAATGAAACTTGACTTAGGGAAAAGAGGTACATTTACTATCCAGGTCCCAATTGTTCAAACGTTAGCTAGTAAATAGCACTTTATTCATAAAATGCTTGGGGGGAGGGGGGCTACTCAACAAATGTTTATATGGTGAGGCTCTGCCCCGAGGTCCAACCCTTACCCTTTTATGTACCATTTTTTCATGTAAAAGGCAACCCTTTCACATACCTTCTATTGTGACAAATGGTACCCTTTCACATACCTTGTTTAGATCTTTGCATCCCTTTTAACTGCTGTAAATGCACTGTCTTTTAAAAAAGGAATCAATCAAAATAGAACATTTTCTCAACTTTTTTTGGCCATAAATTCATCTGTTAGTCCTTTTGGGCACTTTTACAGACCCAAATCACACATTTACTACCCTTTAATATACTTCAACTAGTTGAAGCCCTACCCTTTTGCTATACCTGAAGCCTGAAAAAGATAGCCCTTTCCGGCAGAGCCTACCCATATATATATAGGCCATCATTGGGAGTTCCCCCTCCCCCAGGGAAATGCTACGACCATTGCATTATTCAGTGGGTGTAGATTTATGCCAGGGATGGATGGAATTATCCATTGTTTGAACAAAAAGTGCCAGATGGTAAGCTTTTTATCCCTTTTAACTAGACCTAAATTACAACCAGTGATCATGACTAGCTGGCTTAGGTAATACTCACTGCTATTCTGCTCACGGATTCCCTAAAACACCTTAGCCCCCTGGACCTCATTTCAGTCATTCCACTTTCCATTTGGTGACAGCAATAATGATTTTCCCACAAGAATTTATGAGGAACTAATTTCACATAACTGTTTCAATTTATATGACCAATCTTCCCCGTTTTACACAGCTAGGAATTTTCTTTGGTACACCAAACCCCAAGAAATAATGAAAGCTTACTGTAAGTTTTTGTATTGTAGAAGGGAAATTATGTTAAAAAGTTACAACCAAAGCTTAAAAAATGGAAGGACATTTAGCTGGGTTCACCATTTTAAGCTTGTATATACAAGAGAATTACCCTAATCATTTCTTCTGGAAGCTAAAAACAAAATCCTAAGTGCATCTATCCATTAATTTGCGTGTTGTTAATCCAGAAAAACTCTACTTTGAGTCATTTTCCCATTGAAGTTAGATTAGATTTACAAAATAGTGGCAAGACAGATGTTAAACTATTAATAACCCTGAAGATGTCAACATCTGAATAAAAAGTCAGTAAAATCCCAAACAACACTTTATGGTACATATCATTCGTGTGGCTTTAATCTTAAAACTCAAAATTCCGATTTTATCAACAAAATAAAAACCAGTTACAAGAATCTGGGACACAGATCCAGAGAAGCAAAGGTCATGTGTAACAGGGAGGGAATAAAATGTGGGTGTGCCTCATTTAAGGCATGTCTTGCAAGTTTGTATATGATGACATATGAGCTTAAAACAAATTAAATTGTACCTGATATTAATTTTAAGAGCAAAAACAGATAGAAAAAAAGGAAATACAGTAGAGCCTGGTAACTCGAACTCTACAGGTGAAACGAAAAACAATTTGACATAGCGAGGTTTCAAGTTAACGGGGTTGATGGCACAATTCAATTTGCCACATTAAAAATTGATAGTTGGTTATTTTTTAGCACTTCAGTGTTTAGGGCACTGTAAATTAAACTTATTAGAGGAGCTAATGGGATGGCATCCACGTGGAGATACAAGAATCAGAGCTCGAGTTATCGGGGTAAATTTCAGTGAATTTTTGATCAAGGGAAAGGAAATTTAGTTCCAGTTTGCGGGAAAATCGAGGTATCCGAGTTCGAGTTGACCGAGTAAAAATGACTGAAAAGTGAGGTGAAATCCAAGGGAAATAGGACAGGAAGTTCGAGTTATCCGAGTTCGTGTTATTGGAGTTCTACTGTACTTACAATATATGCAAGAGCAGCGATTACCAGTCCCGAGGTCTTAAAAGAAGAAGAAGCAGAAGCAGTTCTAACTGTACTGCCGGCAGCTGAGTAGTCGAATTGAGGAACATGATCACCACGGAGAAGCGTGAATTATCGGCGATCTGTCCTTAAATGTTGCTTACTGCTTTTCAGTTACTTCTAACTGTACAGCAGGGTTTAAAAGAAGACCAAACAGGCATCCTTTCCACTTCTTAAGCCTCAGACACTGTTCTCAGTTTCCACGAAGAACCCAGGTAGCCACCATTTTTGTTTTGGAAGGAATAAACCAATGAGAGCGAACGTATGATCGCGCAATGGAATGCACCAATCAGCGATCGTTTTAGTTCGCTGTGTGCCAGGGTCTTCTCTCCTGCCGCCGCCATATTGGAAAGCGAGAAGACCCTGGGGACGAGGTTGCATGGAAAGATGATGAGTTTTTGCTCGGTTTTACGTTTTACGGCGTTCAAACATCAAGAAAAGGTTTTCATGAACTTTTTTCATGAAATTTTTGGACATCAGGAGGCGTGATGTATGAACAGTTCATGAATGACTTCGCTCATCGTGATTCGGCACCTTGGCAAGTTCAGTTATTTATATTAAGCTTCGTGAATTTTCGAGCGACCAGCCTCAGGGCAGCCTGCTCCATCTCTTATATATTTTTTCACCTACGGTGGTATTAAGAACTCTCTGCCTTATCCTAAACATATGCTACGAGCTCATTATAGTACGAGTCTTTCAACAGTCATAGGGGAATGTTCATTAAACCAATTTTGTACTTCGCTGTTCGTAAGTTTTTTTGTACACCGGGAGCGACAACAAATATTTGTGGGCGTAAATACAGAATACAGGGCTAATTTAGTAAAAGCCAGGTTAAATGTTCCAATCACTTTGCTTCACATATACTGGGTCTGTCAGTATAAGCTATTTTTAATATCAAAAGGCTGCAGGGAAGGGCTTTCTGAATCTTCAAAACCTTCACTGGAATATCGTTTGAGTGATAATCAATAAATAGCTCCAACAGCAATACCGTATGTAGTAGTTTTATATTAGATAGTGACTTCGGTTTTAAGTACTTCCTTGAAATTTTTTGTACAAAAAGGGGTATGCCCAGTATACATTGAGAAAATCCCTCAAAGGACTGAAGTACAAGAAACAGAAAAAAGAAAATTGAATGTTTTGCAAAGTTTACAAAGAGAATCAGAAGGACCTTGAAAAATGCACAACTTCAATAGTTTCTGTAAGTTATGAATCTGATTTACAAGTAAAATAAACAAGGTAAAATTGACTTTTTATCAACCATCAAAAGAAGTTATTGTCCCTTGAGCCCAATCCCTTCAGCAGTTCTTTCTACATACTACCCTTGGCTTATTTGGCCTAGATGGGTATGTGCTGCTGAGTCAGGGTGGTGACCATTTCACCCTTTAGAGTTTTGAACAGGGTGTCTGTTTGGGCTGTGAGGGTTGATGAAGAGCAGTCTGTAGTTACGTTTGTGGTACCACCAATTTTTTCCCCAAGTCTTTCCATCTTTCTAACTTTAAAAGCTAACTTAATTCTGTATGCTAACTGAAGTGAATCAGGGTTATAAAATCAGGTCTCTTGGCATAAAAAGGGTGGGGGAAATGAACAATGTGTCCCACTACCCATACTCTCTTTCGGTGCAAGCCCAGGGAGGTGATCTCACATTTTAATACCCTTTTACCACTTGTTTTAACAGCAAAGTCAGTGAAGGTCTTTGGTCTCTGAAAAATGTTTTTGCCTGCCTCAACACAAGTTTCTAACTGTTATTGTTGACTACAAAATTAATAATATTATCTTAATAATCATTTTACATTTTTTTCCAAGACATCCTTTGGTGTTTTGCATATCCATTAGTACAAGGTAATTTTTAAGTTGAGAGGGTTTGATTTCATTAACTACATTTTTATACGGACTCAAACTAACCTGGCAGGTTGATGTTCAAAAGTGTAAAAAATGACATGCAACTGTATGGAAAAAACTGATCATCGTGGCCAAAGGAAAGGCAAAAATAGAAATGTCACCATTTTCCTGACTTTATACATTCCCTTGGAAGCATATTTAGCCAGATGTAGTCCTTGTCAAAACGTGCAAACTTCAAGATTTATTTTCTGAACTTAGCTAATCTTTTTTAAACCATAATCTTGTTCCAAGGGGTAGTGTAGTTTTTAAAATTTATAATTTTTCCCTCTTTTTTTGCAACAAAACACACTTGAATTAGGACTCAAACTGAAAGCAGTGTAGTAACTGCTGTCATGAAAAGAGAATTCCAAACACACAAGACCTAAGATTCATTTGTTAGAAACTACGGTAAAGTTTAAATTAAATCGCACGAAGAAAAGAACTTAAGCATATCAACATGTGCAAAATCAAGAGAAAATGATCTCTTGGCAAAATTTATTTAGCTTCTACTACATAAAGAAATACATGAACTACGAGATTTGACCATGCCACTCAATCATCCAACGCAACTCTGCCAGGATATATAAGTTCACAATCAAGGATGTAGAGCTGAGAATCTCAATCATCATTTCTTGTCGTCTTAAAGGTGTAGCCGTAAACAACTCTCAGCTGAACTCTGACAACTCTTCTACTCAACCACATGCCAGTCATCGCACTTTTTTTAATACCTCGAAGAATTAATTTTGGGCCTTTCGATTGAAAATATAAACTCTTCTACATACATATTGGAGGGCTGGCCCTTCTTTTACTCTTGCAATTCGTGGGTCGTCTAAAGAGAAAGAAATCATCAAAAGGTCGGGCCTCCAGAAACATGTTCACTGGTCTCGTTCTTACCGTATTAAACCGGGCCGCATTTAATGACAAACGCAAGACCAGAAGAAAGGAAAACGTAAGCTCCACATTACCGCGGAACAAAACGAAGAAACCAATGACCAACGGGACCAAAAGCAACTTCACTTCACCCTGCCGAATCGCTGCGAAGAAGCTGCTAAGACGAACTTGTTTTCCCAACCCGCTCCGCGCATGCTCGCTACAGTTTTCGGATGATTGACAGATTTCTTAACTGGGGCGATCATGGAAAGCCGAAAAGCGGCAAGATCAGAGGCCGTTGCCAGCCCCCTGCGTCGCTTAATCCTGTGATCTACTGCTGGAAGATGAAACACATCCGACACACGATCATTGGCTTAATACGAAATGCATTTACGAAGCAAAACTAAAGAGAGCTTCAAAACAATCCATTTGGAAATATATACGATATGAAAAAACGACAACAACAACAAGAAACAATAACAAATGTGAAATCGTGTTATGTTAAACTTACAATTATAAAAAAGAGATATAGCAGAATAAGAATAAAAATGAGCAATAGAGATTGTTGTAGTTCTCGTTAGAATCTATGATTTAAAAAACAATTTGTCTCGGAGTAATAATTTATGCATTGTAAAGAAACACGAAAGTTGTCAAAACTCCGTTAAAAGTATGAAGCATTGTGCTTTACCTCCTCACCCACCCCTACAGATAAATAGGAAAGTAAGAAAAGCAAGTATCCTGACGAAATTAAAGCAAAATCACACGCACGATCTTATCAAAGCCATGCAGCGAGACGATGAAAACACCCGAAGAAAACATCCTCAAGATAACAAAAGCTTTAAAACTTCTTTCCTAGACTTGTAAACCAAGATAATGGTCAAACTAAATATAGTAACCATTGCACCATTTTGTTTCCCTCGATCACGATTATACGACTCAGTGACTGCGCGTCTGCACGAGCAGAACTTCATTTTTTGTTTTTTTGTTTTTGTTGTTTTTTCGTGGCTTCTAAAAATGCGTGACGGGGAACTTTAGACTCAAAAACACAAACAAAAGAGAGAAAATGGGTCAGTTGCGAATTATCAAAATTCATACTTGGCTCCGGGGCTGAAGGGAATAAAACTGGTACACGAAAAGGTACACGAAACCTTTGATTTCCCCGAAATCGAATCAGTTATGATTTTACATTTCTACTTAAAGGCTTCCAAAAAGACGGTGGTCTCGATTCGAACAAGACAGAATCTGCTATCAGGCGATCTTTTTTCGGAGAAAGTCGGCGGACGCCTCCCAAACAAAAAGGAAAGACCAACCGCCTGATCGCAGGTTAAACCAGAATTTGCCAAGATTAAGGTGGAGCAAAAGAGAGTCAATGTAGTTTTACAAAACCTTTAGGATGCGTTCGATAGATAAAAACAAAAACATTAAAACAACTACAAAAAAGCATTCGTTTGTTTAATAATGACTTAACTGTAAGAGGTGGGGAAAATTGTTGGACAAGTTTGCCTGTTATTAAGATAAAGTTTAATTTGTTAAATAAAACTTCCTCTTTCCTAATTGTTTTGAAGTTTAGGAAGACCTATATACAAATTGTAAAAATTGTTTGAAAAACAAGAAGGACATCTGCAAGAAGACAGAAATGCGCATGCTCTGTCAACAATTTGCTCCGTCGGGTGAGATAATAGAGAGCTTAAGCAACGACGACGCCGACGGCCACAAGAACGGCAAAAAAGCAATAGGTTTAGATTGGCATAACAACAACTTTGCACGTAGATCACGCTATCTGTACATTTCTTTGCCGCCACTGCACGACTACGACGTGCAACTTCCTATTTTCACGAATTATTGAGGACGTAAACACAAAAAAGAGATGTCAGATCCATTATTTTTTCATGTTTTTATGACCAAGTCAGAAATCAACACCTTTACTTTTTGCAGTAACATCTTTGGGCAGTTTTGTTACATTTCCATCTTAAACTATTTGGTTAAAGAAACAGAACAGGAGGAAAGCCTTGCAGGAGTTTTCTGAACATTTCGCTTCACAAACTGAGATAAAGCGGCCCCACCGAAAATACTAATTGGGCAATTTCTTTTTGCCGGTGATTAAGTTTTTTGTTTTATTTTGAAACAAAAACTCCCGTTCTCTAATTGCTTGGCAGTTTAGAAAAATACGCCTGCCAATTATCTTAAGCGTATTAAAATCACATAGGACATCTGTTTTGCCACACCCGCAATGCCCTATCATCAGTAATCGTATGTTCAGAAAAGAGTTTCATTGTAGCTCAGTTAAAGACGCATTTTAGTCAGTCAAACTGCTTTACATCAAAGTCTAACTTACTTATCGTTTTGGAACTCTCTGAACGTTAGTCAATCCGATACTTGGGTTTGGTGGGATCATCCTGAAAAACACAAACGTTTGCAAGGTTCGACAAGAATTTGCTTCCTTCAAGCGCCGCAACTATCCAAAAAAAGTCAACAAATGGATTACTTTTATCTCACGCTTTGCGTATTCAACGCGTACTTGTCCTACACCGCCACCATGCTGAACATAATAGCAATCTACGCGATCAGAAAAACTTTGTCTTTACCTAAAAATTTAAAAACGTTGCTTCTGAGTCTGGCTGTTTCTGATCTCGGTGTTGGTTTACTAGCTCAGCCAATGCATGTTGCACATATCATGGACTCTCAACAAAATAATGACACTAATACCGTCATACATCTCGCATTTCGTATTCCGGTAAATTTGTTCATTCCTGCGTCATTGTTAAGTGTCACGGCTCTCTGTGCAGACAGATTTTTCGCAATTTACCTCCACCTCAGATATCAGGAACTTGTGACACACAAGCGCGTTGCTGCTGTAGTGATCTCAATTTGGGTGATAAGCGCACTTATTTCACTGATCAGGTTTTTCATCCCGAAAAACGTTATGTACGTAAGTTTCGTCATTATTGACGCTGCCTGTATTATAACTGCAACTTCCTTGAGCGTCAAACTTTATCTAACTCTAAGACACCACATAAACCAAAGTCACGTACCGCAAGTAGCGCAGAATGACCAAGGAGAAAGTGTTCAAAGAAAAAGGAGATCTGCGATGGCATCGCTTTACGTGTATCTGGTTTTCATAGTTTGCTATTTGCCTGATGATTGTCTGTTAATAATTATCGCTAACAATTCCGAACCAAGGATCGATGTAAACCTTTTGCAGTTTTATACACTGACCCTAGTGTTTCTTAATTCAACCCTTAACCCACTAATCTACTGTTGGAAGATGAAACGCATCCAGCACACTATTGTAGGAACACTTCGAAATCTTTTTTCAAATCCCACCTAGAGAAAACTCCACCATAGACTATGACGAACAAAGGACTAAGAAAGCCTTATAAGGTCATCCTTATACAGTCCTTAAACGGTCTGTAACTAAATGAAGCCATGCCACTGAAATGCTTTGCGAATTACCCTACATGTTATTTCCATGACACAGTCCACGCTGTCATCATTCAGTTTTTAAACGTCCTTTTGCAAAATTCTAGTTAAAAAAAATTCATTACTTTTTGTCAAATGAACCTTTAAAAGCGCGATTGACACACTTCGCAGTGTCTTATTGATGCAAGAGTAAGCCAGCTTACGAGATAAATGACTTAAGTTTCTTCTTCATGTACCCTTTTCACTACGTTAAAACCTAACAACGTTTAAATCGTCATGTTGCAAAGGTTTTGTTCAAATTGACCTTAACTGTATAGTTATCTCATTATTGCATTTTAAATGTTGGTGAAGCTAAGCAAAATAACACACTGATATTTAATATTAACATATAAGAGGTTTCATATGAACGCTTTTCTCACTGAAAAGCGTAAGTGGAATTCATACCCCAATAAAAAATTTAAAACATTTAAAGTGTACGAGATTATTCTTAATAACAGGTGGGGGAAAGTATGATAAAGAAAACGTCCCTGAAACTGTTCACGTTTACAACCTTTAAGATTTTATGGTTTAACTCTTTTCGTCTCCAAAAAACATATGTATTGTCAAATCCGTTTTGATATTTTGTATTGTTTTGCAGTGTTTTTTGTTATTTTGATTTCAGTAAGCAACATTTCACCAAGGATAATAATGAAAAGAAAAATCCACGGCCGTAGAAACCAAACCACCCGTTACCTCCGTCAAAAGAGATGCTGAAAATTTCCCCAGAAACGAGAACATGAAAGGTGGGGGAAAGTATGATACACACCTTCCTTGAACCTGTTCACGTTTAGAACCCTTAAGATTTTATGGTTTAACTGTTTTGGTCTCGAAAAACATACATGTATGTATTGTCAAATCCGTTTTCGTCAGTGGTATTTTGTATTGTTCTGCAGTGTGTTTTATTGTTATTTTGATTTCAGTAAGCAACATTTCACCAAGGATAATAATGAAAAGAAACGCCATGGCCGTAGAAACGAAACCACCTTTTACCTCCGTCAAAAGAGATACTGAAAATTTCCCCAGAAACGAGAACATAACACTTCAACTAGCCTGCGAGGAAGCTCTCTATTTTGGGGGAGTCGCGAGACGAGACGAGAGTGCGAGGGGCGGGGTGAGAGGCGCGTTCGCTCGCCATAAATGGAGAACTTGCTAGCAGACTAAACTTCAACAGATGTCTTTCGCGCTATTCATTTTCATGACAAATTCGTTCGACTGTGGAACCTTAACGCATTTCGCGGTTTACAAGCTCTATTGATTACTGTCACTATATTTTCACTTCAATTCTGATCTAGATAATTCTGAAATAGCTTCCAACAGGATCCTGAGGCAGAGAGGGAATTCATGAAAATAACGCGTTCTCACCTAAATATGAATTGTTGGCGCTAGTTTTCCTATTAACCAGCACCCTTCCAAAGCTCTTATTTCATTGGTCCCTATAACCTGCACTCCCTATTGTTTTCAGGGCGGTCACCATCCATATTGTTTTCTGAGCCAGTCACAAACCTTGCTCCCAGTTTCAGAGCAGAATTAGAATTGGGTAGCAAAAGAATTTCAACTCAACAACAACAACAATAACAACAGAAGAAATAGTTCTTAAGTCCGCTTGCGTTTAATGGTTGGGTGCAAAGCCAAAGAAAAACTATCCACTAATAGTTTATGTCGTCGATATTACAAATTGCAAATACAACACAAGTTAATGAAAGAGTTAGGGAACCATATGATATGTAAATTAAACAGCTGAAATTTTCCGAGCTGGTTATTTAAAACCTACTGTTAACTAAATATGATTTTTAGGACGTGTGGAAAATATAAAAAATTTCACCACCTTTAAAGAGACGAAACACTTTGTAACTCTTTCAATAGCGACTGTAAAGCCCTTATGTTAACGCCAAAAACTAGAAGTCTTTAATTTTGAAATATTAGGGCATTAAGCCTTAAAATATTCATCAAAATTAAATGGGCTAAAAGACTAACGAGGAAGAGTTTTTGTTTAACATTTCAATCGACCGCTTTTAGTCCCAACTAATAAGCAACATGTCATTTTGCAGTAAATTTTAATGAATATGACGTTCTTTTAAAATACAGCACCTGGAGCATACACAAGGGTGAAGGACAGTTTCGTCCTTTTTCGCATTTCGCTTGTTCGGATGCAATATAGCCATATAGTGGCGCCAATAAAGAAAAAAAAAACTTCAAATATGGCTTAACTGTCAAAGGCGGGAAAAACGGTGGGGCAAGTTTCCTGTGTTTCAGTTGAAATTACTTTAAAAAGAACTTCCTGTTTTTAATTTGATATGAAGCTAACAAAAACACATAACAATTTTACAATTTGCCTTGCAAATAACCAAGAGATCTATTCTGACACTTAGACCATCAATACTAAATGATCAGTTGCTGCATCATTGTGTTCAGATGAAATGTTTCATAGCGGCTCAGTTAAAGAGGAATTTGGTCAAAGTACTTATCAAACGCTGCCTTATTGAGAGTAGTGGAGTTCTAACAATAAGTCAATCCGCTACGAAGCTCTGGTAGAAGAAGTTCACGAAACTAACTCTACTGAATTCATAAAAGATCAAACTCTTGCATCATCTGATAAGAATTTAACTGGCTTCACAACAAATCCAAACTCAACAACAAATGAAATAATCGTATCTCGTGCTTTGCCTTTTAAATGCATTTTTATCCTACACCACCACCATGCTAAACATTGTAAAAATCCACTCGATAAGAAAAACTCCGAACTTGTCAAAGAATTTAAAAACATTGCTCCGGAGCCTAGTAGACCAACACCAAGATCAGAAACAGCCAACTCAGCCAATGGGAAGTTTAGACTCAAGATCAGAAACAAAAGCGAGAAAATGGGTCAGTTTCGAATTATCAAAATTCATACTTGGCTCGGAGGCTGCAGGGAATAAAATAAAATAGAATTGGGTAGCAAATGAATTTCATCTCAACAACAATAACAACAAAGAAATAGTTTTTAATCCCGCTTGCGTTTAATGGTTGGGTGCAAAACCAAAGATTAACTGTCCACTAATAGTTTATGTCGTCGATGTTACAAATTGCAAATACAACACAAGTTAATGAAAGAGTTAGGGAACCATATGATACGTAAATTAAACAGCTGAAATTTTCCGAGTTGGTTCTTTAAAACCTACTCTTTGCTAAGTATTATTTTTTAGACGTGTGAAAAATATCAAAAATTTCACGGCCTTTAAAGAGACGAAACACTTTGTAACTCCTTCAATAGAGACTTTAAACTCTAAATGAGAAGCCCTTACGTTAACGCCAAAAACTAGAAGTCTTTAATTTTGAAATATAAGGTTATTAAGCCTTAACATGTTCATCACAATTAAATGGGCTAACAGACTAACGGGGAAAAGTTTTTTTTTTTTAATATTTCAATCGACCGCTTTTTGTCCCAACTAATAAGCAACATGACATTTTGCAGTAAATTTTAATAACTTTCCTTTAAAATACAGCATATTGAGCATACACAATGAAGAAGGACAGTTTTGTTTTTTTTCGCACTTCCCTCGTTCCGATGCAATATAGCCATATCACCGCCTTAATAAAGAAAATAAAACTTCAAATATCACTAGACTGTCAAAGGTGGGGAAAATGGTGGGGCAAGTTTCCTGTGATTTTGTTGAAGTTACTTTAAACAGAACTTCCTGTTTTTGAATTGGTATGAAGGTAACAAAAACACATAACGATTTTACAATTTGTCTTTAAAATAACCAAGAGATCTATTCTGACACTTAGACCAGCAATACTTAATGATTAGTCGTCGCGTCATCGTGTTCAGATGAAATATTTCATAGCGGCCCAGTTAAAAAGCAATTTAGTCAAAGTACTTATCAAAGGATAGCTTATTAAAAGTTGTGAAATTCTAAAAATAAGTCAATCTGCTTCGAACCTCTGGTAGAAGAAGTCCACGAAACTGATTCTACTGAATTCATAAAAGATCAAACTCTTGCATCATCTGATAGCAATTTAACTGGCTTCAGCACAAATCCAAAAACAACAACAAATGGATTCCCCGTATCTCCTAGTTTGCCTTTTAAATGCATTTTTATCCTACACCGCCACCATGTTAAACATTGTTACAATCCACGCCATAAGAAAAACGTCCACATTGTCAAAGAACTTAAAAACATTGCTCTTGAGTCTGGCTGTTTCTGACCTTGGTGTTGGTTTACTAGCTCAGCCAATGACCGTGATACATACTATCTCTACGAACTTGAACGAAAATAATGAAACTAGTAAGACTTATGTTGCCATCTATATTGCGTGGCTTCTTCCGACGAATTTATTTGCTTTCGCTACGCTGTTTCTAGTCATTGTTCTTTGTGCAGAGAGATTTATAGCCATTCATTATTACCTTAGATATCAAGAACTTGTGACACACAAGAGAGTTGTTGCTGTTGTCGTCTCAACTTGGGTATTAAGCGGACTGTTTTCGTTGACGAGGCTGTGGATCCCAAAGAGTATTATGTTCGTGGTTTTTGGCATTACAGACCTTGCATGTATTATAGCTGCCACTTTCTTCAGTATCAGAATATACTTGTCGGTGCAACTTCACGTGAACGAAATACAAGTGCTGCAGCTACAACATGCACCACAGAAAGCTCAAATGGTTAACGTTCGAAGGATGCAAAAGTTTGCGATGATGTCAGTTTACGTTTGCCTCGTTTTAATGGTTTGCTATCTGCCAGACATTTGTTCACTCTTTGTTATTGCCTTCACTTCTAGACCAAGCACTGGAATAAAGCATTCACAGTTTTACACTGTGACACTGGTCTTCCTTAATTCGTCGCTTAATCCTGTGGTCTACTGCTGGAAGATGAAACACATCCGACACACGAT